AAACTCCCACACAATAATAGTGAGATACCTTAACATTCAACTTTCAATATTAGACAGATCAAGGAGACAGAAAATTAACAAGAATATCCAGGACTTGAACTCAGATTTGGACCAAGCAAACCTAATAGACATTTACAGAACTCTCCACCCCAAAGCCACAGAATATACATTCTTCTCAGCACCACATCACGCCTACTCTAAAATTGACCACAAAACTGGAAGTAAATCACTCCTCAGCAAATGCAAAAGAAGGGAAATCATAACAAACAGTCTCTCAGACCACAGGGCAATCAAATTAGAATGCAGAATTCAGAAACTAACTCAGAACCCCACAACCTCATGGAAACTGAACAACTGGCTCTTGAATGTTGACTGGATAAACAATGAAATGAAGGCAGAAATAAAGATGTTATTTGAAACCAGTGAGAAGAAAAACGCAATATACCACAATCTCTGGGACACATTTAAATCTGTGTCTAGAGGAAAATTTATAGCAATACCCACATGAGAAGCAAGGAAAGCTCTAAAATCGACACCCTATCATCAAAATGGAAAGACCTAGAGGAGCAAGATCAAAAAAACTCAAAACCTAGCAGAAGACAAGAAATAACTAAGATCAGAGCAGAACTGAAGGAGATAGAGACACAAAAAAACCCTTCAAAAAAGATCTTTTGTTAAAAGATCAACAAAATAGAACACTAGCCAGATTAATAAAGAAAAGAGAGAATAATCAAATAGATGCAATAAAAATCAATAAAGGGGATATCACCATAGATTCCACAGAAATCCAAACTACCATCAGAGATTACTACAAACAACTCTATGCACATAAACCAGTAAACCTGGAAGAAACTGATAACTTCCTCGATACTTGCACCCTCCCAAGCCTAAACCAGAAAGAAGTCCAAACCCTGAATAGATCAATAACAAGGGCTGAAGTTGAGGCAGCAATTAATAGCCTACCTACAGAAAAAAGCCCAGATCCAGATGGGTTCACAGCTAAATTCTACCAGACATCCAAAGAGGAGCTGGTACCACTCCTTCTGAAACTATTCCAAACAATACAAAAAAAGGGAATCCTTCCCAAATCATTTTATGAGACCAACATCACCCTGATACCAAAACCCAGCAGAGACTCAACAACAAAAAAAGAAAACTTCAGGCCAATATCCATGATGAACATAGATGCAAACATTTTCAATAAAATACTGGCAAAATGATTGCAACAGCACATCAAAAAGCTTATTCATCACCATCAGGTAGGCTTCCTTCTGGGGATGCAAGGCTGGTTCAACATATGCAAGTCTATAAATGTAATTCACCACATAAACAGAACCAAAGACAAAAACAACATGATTATCTCAATAGATGCAGAGAAGGCCTTCAACAAAATTCAACAGCCCTTTATGCTAAAATCTCTCAATAAACTAGATATCAATAAAATGTATCTCAAAATAATAAAAGCTATCTACAACAAACCCACAGCCAATATCATACTGAATGGGCAAAAACTGGAAGCATTCCCTTTGAAATCTGGCACTAGACAAGGATGCCCTCTCTCACCACTCCTATTCAATATAGTATTGGAAGTTTTAGAGCTGTGAGGCAACAAAAAGAAATAAAGGGTATTCAATTAGGAAAGGAGGAAGTCAAATTGTCTCTTTTTGCAGATGATATGATTGCATATTTGGAAGACCCCATCATGTCAGCCCAAAATCTTCTCAAACTGATAAGCAACTTCAGCAAAGTCTCAGGATACAAAATCAATGTGCAGAAATCACAAGCATTCCTCTACACCAATAACAGACTTAAAGAGAGCCAAATCAAGAATGAACTGCCATTCACAGTTGCTACAAAGAGAATAAAATACCCAGGAATACCACTAACAAAGGATGTAAAGGACCTCTTCAGGAGAACTACAAACTACTGCTCAAAGAAATAAGAGAGGATGCAAACAGATGGAAAAACATTCCATGCTCATGGATAGAAAGAATTAATATCCTGAAAATGGCCATACTGCTCAAAGTAATCTACAGATTAAACACTATCCCCTTCAAGCTACCAATGACTTTCTTCACAGAACTGGAAAAAACCACCTTAAACTTCATATGGAACCAAAAGAGAGCCCACATAGCCAAGTCCTTTGTTCCTAAGCAAAAGGAACAAAGCTGGAGGCATCACACTACCTGACTTCAAACTATGCTTCAAGGCTACAGTAATCAAAACAGCATGGTACTGGTACCAAAACAGAGATATAGACCAATGGAACAGAACAGAGGCATCAGAGTCAACACCACACATCTACAACTATCTTATCTTTGACAAACCTGACAAAAACAAGCAATGGGGAATGATTCCCTGGTTAATAAATGGTGTTGGGAAAACTGGCTAGCCATGTGCAGAAAGCAGAAACCGGACCCCTTCCTGACACCTTACACTAAAATTAACTCCAGTTGGATTAAAGATTTAAACATAAGACCTGGTACCATAAAAACCCTAGAAGAAAACCTAGGCTAAACCATTCAGGACATAGGCAAGGAATTCATGACCAAAACACCAAAAGCATTGGCAACAAAAGCCAAAATAGACAAATGGGACCTAATTAAACTCCAGAGCTTCTGCACGGCAAAAGAAACAATCATTAGAGTGATCCAGCAATCAACAGAATGGAAAATTTTTTGCAATCTACTCATCTGACAAAGGACTTATGTCCAGAATCTACAAAGAAGTAGAACAGATTTTCAAGAAAAATCAAGCCCATTCAAAAGTGGGCAAAGGATATGAACAGACACTTTTCAAAAGAAGACATATATGAGGCTAATAAACATATTTAAAAAACCCTCATCACTGGTCATTAGAGAAATGCAAATCAAAACTACATTGAGATATCATCTTACACCAGTTAGAATGGCAGTTGTTAAAAAATCTGGAGACAACAGATGCTGGAGAGGATGTGGAGAAATAGGAACACTTTTACACTGCTGGTGGGAGTGTAAATTAGTTCAACGATTGTGGAAGATGGTGTGGCGATTCCTCAAGGACCTAGAAATAGAAAATTCCATTTGACCCAGCAATCCCATTACTGGGCATATATCCAAAGGATTATAAATCATTTTAAGGACATACGCACACATTATGTTCATTGCAGCACTGTTTACAATAGCAAAGACCACCCCAAATGCCCATTGATAATAGACTGGACAGGGAAAATGTGGCACATATACACAATGGAATACTATGCAGCCATCAAAAGCGATGAGTTCGTGTCCTTGTAGGGACATGGATGAATCTGGAAACCATCATTCTTAGCAAACTGACACAAGAACAGAAAATGAAATATCACATGTTCTCACTCATAGGCGGGTATTGAACAATGAGAACACATAGACACAGGGAGGGGAGCATTACACACTGGGGTCTGTCAGGGAGACTAGCAGAGGGACAGGTGGGGGTAGGTAGTTGGGGAGGGACAACATGGGGAGAAATGCCAGATATAGGTGATGGGGATGGAGGCAGCAAACCACATTGCCATGTCTGTTCCTATGCAACAATCTTGCATGTTCTTCACATGTACCCCAGAACCTAAAGTGCAATAAAAAATATATACATGCAAAAAAAAAGAAAATTAAAATATTCTCATTTTTACTCATATTTTGAATTTCTGTTTCCTTTAAAAACATATTTTATATATTTATATCATTTAATTCTAGCATCTAATCTTTTAATGGGCTGAAACTACTGTTTACAGTTGACTTAGTTATGGTATCCTTTTTCCTCATGTGTTTGTTGTTTGTGAATTTTTGTTATGAGCTCAGGTTTACTGCAATGTTTAAAGGCATGGGCTTGATTGTTTTTTTCTTCACTGAGAGCCAAGACTTAGGCAATTTCGCTTAGAAGGTTTCAGGGAAATAGTCATCCTTAAATTGAGGGATTTCTAAGTATCTTCTTTCTTTTCTATTTTTTTTTTTTTTTTTTTTTTTGAGACAGAGTCTTGCTTTGTCACCCAGGCTACAGTGCAGTGGTGTGATCATGGCACACTGCAGCCTTGAACTTCTGGGCCCAAGAAATCCTCTCACCTTAGCCTTCTGCATAGCTGGGACCACCACACCTGGCTAAGTTTTACAAATTTTTTGCAGAGACAAGGTTTCTCTATGTTGCCCAGGTTGGTCTTGAGCTCCTGGGCTTAAGCAATCCTCTCACTTCAGCCTACCAAAGGCCAGCATCTTGATCTGAAACTTTCTGTGTGCTGTGGGCTGTACTCTCTATCACATAGTATCCATCAGTTCTGAAGTTTAGACTATGAGAGTAGCAGATACCACTACAGCAGCCACCTGCTTCCACAGTTTCCTGTATTTCTCTGGTTTCATGCATTTTCATTATTTTCCCTCTGAGTATTTATCTTATCTTTTTGCTAGTTCATTTTTAGAGTCCAGAAATTTTGATATTTTTACTTGGATAATTTTTATTGTAGTATAATTTACATTTGGTAAAATGCACAAATCTCAGTATACAGATTGATGAATTTTTATATCTACACGTGTACTCATCACCAATATCAAGATACAGGGAACTTCCAAGCCTTCCCATAGCCCTTGATGTTTTTCATGTCCCATATCCCCAGAAACTAATGGACTTAAACATTTTTTAGTTAGTTTCTACAAGGTTAATATTTGCATTTTGATAGAATTTTTGAAGGGGTTTGACCCTAATCTTCTTCTCATATTGTTTTAAATTTACTATATCTTCATCAAAGCTTAGTTAGCATCAATGGCAGGTACAGTGGTGTATGCCTGTTTCCCAGCTACTTGGAAGATTAAGCAGAATTATTGCTTGAGCACAAGAGCGTGCTATGCTTGCACCTGCAAAGCACTCCAGCCTGGGCAACATAGCAAGACCCCATCTCTTAAAGCTTAGCATCAATTCCTGGATTTATGGCTTTACTTCTTTTGTTCTCTGTTTTATGTGAGTGGCTAAAGTCTTTATTTTTTTCTCTCTTAAAGGCACTCCGAGTCATGGGGAGAATAATGCGTGAGTGTTGGTATGCCAATGGAGCAGCCCGCCTAACTGCTCTTCGTATTAAGAAGACTATATCTCAACTTTGTGTCAAAGAAGACTGCAAAGCCTAATGATGATAATTATGTTAAAAAGAAATCTCTCACAGCATTCTTTTCCATTTTCCCCTTTATGTGAATGTTTTTGCCATTTTTTTTTTGTTCTACCTCAAAGATAAGGCAGTACAGTATTTAAGTGCCCATAAGGCAGCATGAAAAGATAACTCTAAAGTTAAGCATGGGTAGGAGTTGACTTCATCCAATGTTTAATTTTACTTTGAAAGCAGCACCTCAACTCATCTTTTTATTTAATAAGAAACAAGTATATTACAAAGTTATAAAATAAGCTTTATAAAAATAATATAGTCATTAAGTTTTTATTTTACTTGAACCAAGAGCATATGAATGACCAGGAAAAAATGTAGAAACATTTTTTTCTGAGATGAAAGCATATTCATTAAACATGTGAACTAGAACATGTTATCTTAAACAGAAATTTAGGTTATGTAATCTATGTTTTTCCCCTTTTTAAATTAGCAGGACCTTTTAAAAATAAACATTTCTCTAAATTTTAATATATCAAACATGTAAAAGTGGAGCTGCTCAGGGGAAGATGTAAGTGAGGTTGGTGTCCCTCGTGCTTGGTCTCCATTTCTGCTGTTCTCCTACTCTTCATAATCCACTACTGCGGCAGTCACTGAACCACTAAACTTGTTGCTTTCATTTACAAAAGAGATACCTGATATCCTGAGACACTGAGAAATGTCCGAAAGTCACACAGCTAAAGGCAGAGCTGGCACTAGGGTCCAAATCTTGTGATAATAAACATCATAGAGTTAGCTAGCTTCCTACTTTCCCCTGAATTCTCATAGTACTCTTCTCCCTATGCAATAGCTTTTATTATATTTGTGGTTTAGTCATGCAGAAGGCATACTGAGTTATTTTGCACAATCATAATGGACCTGCATGAAATCTCAGAACCGCATCTGTTGACATTTTTTTCTCATAGAAATGTCGTGGTTACCCCACTTGTTAATGAGTATAAATGTTTTCTGAACTCTTCCAAAGATTAATCAAACATAAATATTCATTGTCTGGAAAATGTCTTTAAGATACAATTCAGAGGTCCCATTTCCTTTGTACATATACATTTAGAAAGAAAAGACAGAATAGGAAGGAGGAAGCAAGGAAATATTTTGAGAAGATTTAAGAAAACTCTTCAATGAAGTGTAACAACCAAACCCTACAGAGAGTATCAGAAACAGCAAATACATATTCCTCTACTCTTTCACAATAAGCAAGTGAGTACAGAAGAATGCTCATAATAGTTTTGCCTTCATTCTACTTTCTGTGGACACAGAGTAATGAATATTTAATGGGACATTACATATGTCCTTCAAATCTATAATGCTACTTTGGTAAAGGAGACTTAACATGGTGTCTTTTATTCTTCTAAAACATCTTCTCTCAAGCTCCATTCCTTAGAACATTCTGCTGCTGAGATGATCCAAGACCCAAAGTGTTCTTTAATACTTGCTTAGAAAGTGATAGTACATGTTAGCATATCACGTACTTTGAAGAGTGAAGTAAATGCTACTGATAACAGTTTAAAAAAAACTAATAACAGTAAAGAAATGCTACTTGAATTTTTTAAACTGGATTTTACAGATTACCTGACCATGGTGGAAGGAACCCTTTTACTAAGAGGAGAAGAAACTTTTTACTATCCCATATTTAAATGTTCTATAAAGCAAAGCACAGCTTGGGTAATAGTGTTCTGAAAGATATGCTTCTGTATTTTCTCATAGAGTACAATTTAGTAATTATGGTTCATTTCACTATGGAAATATGTTACTGAATCCATTTTCATTTTACTGAGTTGAAATAAGGAAGGCAAAAAACTGAAAGCTATGGAGTTTGCCGATACTTCCATACTCATTAATGCACTCATCCACTTATTAAATAATCATAGAGCACCACATATCTTGCTTGCCACAATATCAGGTATGAGAGGGAATAAAAAGATAGATAGCTCCTGCCCTCAGGGATTTTAAAGTCTAATTTGGGAATGGGAATAGGGATGTTAGTGTGTAGGGGGTGAAAATAAATTGACAGATAAAATACAAAGTGGGATGTCTTGAGTTCTGCTTGACAGTGGGTTTCTAGGATAGGTCTGAAAATTGCTTTCAGTTGCAACACATTTAGAAAGTATCTTTATTTGGATATTACAGACAATCTAAATATATCATCGGTTTTTAAAAGTGCCTATGTGAAGTGATTTTTTAAAAGAGCCTATGTGAAGTGGTAATCTTGCTTGTTACTAATTTCTCATAGACTGTTTTACTGCATATATAAGAATGAAATTATTTATTTACTATGATTGTACTCATCTCAAATAAACAAGAATAATATTTCCTGTTTTATTTACATTGGATAAATATGCTTATTGAATTTTTAAGAGAGGATGTTTTAACATCTCCATTTTTCTTGTCATTATGTTTTGTAGCTTATTTGAGGGTGTCTAAATATAATTTCATATTTTATTGGTTCAACTTGCACTCTGAAGAAATCCGTATGTTAGTACATTGAGGTATTTTTCTTGTTCTTGTATTGGTTAACTGTGACTCCTAACTGAATAGTCTTATATTTCAATTAAAAAATACATTTTTTAAGGAAGGGAGTAGAGCAGCAAAAAATGATAAGGAAAACATGAAAAGTTGTAATATTTCCTTTACTCTTAACAGGATTATATATAGAACATGCTCACTTACAAAAATAGGATAATGAAGTTTAGAGCATAAGGCAGACTTCTTGTATATACTTATGCTGTCAAATTTTATTTTGTTTTTAATGGAGTCCCATTGTGTGATATTTATTTCTTTTAAATTTTGTTATAAGCAAAAAAAAAAATTCTTCTTAGGTTAGGTTCGGATTTTCAGTATTCTTTAATCGTTACAGATATTTTGGCTTTGGGAAATAAGACAGGACTTGGGAAAATGCTACCACAAATTATCAGTACTGTATAAAGTGGTGATGGGATTTAAATGCAGCATCACTTTCTGAAAATAAGAGAAACATTATTTGTTGTCAGTATTTCAGCATGAACTTGTTGCCTTGTAAATTTTGCCTTTAAGTTTGTAATTGGTACAGATTCTGTTGTATGCTTTCTTCTATGTCTAAAATATTTGGCATGTCACATCTAGAATTCTTAATTTATGTTCTGACTTGAGAGTTAAGTGAAACATGACTGTCGTGCACTATTTTAGGCATAGCACTTGCTTTTCATCTTTATACTTTCAATTAACTTTGCATTTTAAATTTCATGATTGTATGAGAATAGTAACCTGGTTGCAGTATCTGTAAAAATGAAAATCAGCTTTTATTTAAAAATGAAAATCTACAATAGATTCATTAGGTTAGAAGTTCCACAATAGTTTATTATTTTAGTACATCTTCTATTGTAGAATTACTAATAAAACAAAACAAAACTAATTCTATTTTTCTGGAATTTTGCCACCATGTGACTCATTGGGGCAGAAAAAACTCAGGGTTATCTTTGAGTCTGCAGAAAAGTACCAGAAAACCTACTTAGTGAAAACAGGGAGCTGATGTTTGCCATTATACAAAGTTCGAATAAACAACTTGAAATTGCTTGTTAGGGCATAGTCTTTGATTGAAATAAATATGAGAATATATTTGGCTAAATAAATGTATTTAAAATATAGATATTTTATTTCCCAGTGGAAAATTAAGAAAGTAACCTTAGCAAATGAATAAAAGCTGGCAGTGGATGTCTTCAATAATCATTCCTTTAAATAAATTCACAAACACATAATTATAAGCTACTTAGAAATGGTTAGTGTTAGTGTCTTAAAATGGCATCATTGGTCAGGCACAGTGGCTCATGCCTGTAATCCCAGCTCTTTGGGAGGCCGAGACAGGGGGATCACAAGGTCAGGAGTTCGAGACCAGCCCGGACAATGTGGTGACACCCCGTCTTTACTAAAAATACAAAAATTAGCCGGGTGTGGTGGTGTGTGCCTGTAGTCCCAGCTACTTTGGAAGGCTGAGGCAGAAGAATTCCTTGAACCGAGGAGGCAGAGGTTGCAGTGAGCCAAGATCACGCCACTGCACTCCAGCCTGGGCAACAGAGCAAGACTCTGTCTAAAAAAAAAAAAAAAAAGAGAAAAAAAGAAAGAAATCATTGTGGTTTTTAAAGATATTTTAAACATACTATTTCTGTTTGACAATGCTTTAAGTTCCATATGCTAATACCTACATGGAGTTTTTCTGCTATTTTAGTGAAAACAGTAATTCTTTTATCTTGAGAACTTCTAAATAACAAAAGTCAATTGGAATGTAAGTTTTATTAAAATTTTAATATTAAGTAGAATTTTTATAATATGGGCATTTTTCAAAACATTTAAATGAAATTATATATTTGACTAATTTCTTTTTTCCATCTAGCCTTGCTTTATATTTCATTATTTTTCTCACTTTTTTCCTTAATATTACCTCACTGTCTTTCAACCTTATCATTAGTTCCTAATTTTAAAAATGACTATTACTTAACCATTCTGGAATTTAGCCTTCTAATGAAAGAGAATCCCTTATTGCTCTAAATTATTTCAGAAGTGTTACAGCCCAAAACAAAAACCAGAATTTGGGAATTAGAAACAATTAATTTTATAACTTGATTCCAATTTTGTTTAGATGACAAGACCAAGGATCAGAGATTAAATGACTACTAGTTATTAGCAGAACTCTTATGAAAGATAGCCTGGTGGTGGCACCCAGCACAGTTCTCTGCCATATCCCCAATTTTTACTGATCAAAAATTAATTCGCACACATCTAAACCTACCTTGAATGCACACTAATATAATGTGCCATTTAATGATGGTGATAAAATCCCAGTTCTCTGTGTTTCTACTAAAATTATGTACTTACTCAGGGTGAGGTGAGTGAGAAAAACTAAATTAGGCTAACAAAGAGTTGTAGAAAGTTTGTGAAGCTAAGTAGGCAACCACTGGGGTGCTGATGAAATTAGTGGATAAAATTTAGGAAATGCGCGAGTACAGAATTTCTTAGTGCAAGTAATGATTAGAGAACCTTCCTGACACCCCCCACCCTTTATGTAGGGGTTATTCTTTCTTTTCTTTTTGTACTTTGGAATTGGGTGAAACGTGATTTGATAGTTGAATTTGGGACTATGTCCAGTGGAATATAATCTGACTTCTCTTTTCTCTCTTCCCCAACCCCCACTCAGTTTCTCATTAGTTTGTCTTCAGCATTCATCTTTTCAGTGCATTAAAAAATGTTTGCCAGATCTCATCAACCCCAAATCGCTCTATAAGTCCTGTCTTTCTTTAGTTATGTTTTAACCTGTCCAAACTGCTACACCATGAACTTCTTAACAAGATTTTAAGTTCTTCACCCATGTATAAGAAGTTTCATCTCATAATTTCTCCAGTAATTCTTCATTCGGCACTCTAGGGTGTTTGTTAATGGCAGAGATGACTTTGTTTTAAAACTTAAAAAGAAGCCGGGCACGGTGGCTCAAGCCTGTAATCCCAGCATTTTGGGAGGCCGAGGCGGGTGGATCACGAGGTCAACAGATCGAGACCATCTTGGTCAACATGGTGAAACCCCGTCTCTACTAAAATTACAAAAAATTAGCTGGGCACGGTGGTGCATGCCTGTAATCCCAGCTACTCAGGAGGCTGAGGTAGGAGAATTGCCTGAACCCAGGAGGCGGAGGTTGCGGTGAGCCGAGATCGCGCTATTGCACTCCAGCCTGGGTAGCAAGAGCGACACTCCGTCTCAAAAAAAAAAAAAAAAAAAAAAAAAAAAACTTAAAAAGACTAGCTGCTAACTGTATTCTGGCTTTTAGCTAACATATAAAGAATGTCTACTTTTGCTTTAATGCTAAATTCCACTTGAGAAATAGTGACTGGGAAAGACAATTTGAAATATATGCCCCATAAATGTGATTGCTAAATTTATTTCTGCTGTTTCATATCATTGTTTTGTTTTGCTTTTGACATCTTTTAAAACTAAGCCATTATGTTATTAGTTTGGAATATAATACTATAATAAAATTAAGTAACAATCCCTTTTTAAAAAAATTCCCCTAATAATAATAGAACTGCCAGGATACTTTTCTCTTTCAGTTGTAGATGAATACATTTGAGAGAATATGAGTTTTATTTCATCTTAGATTTTAATATTTTCACATGTGATTGTATTTCCTGATCATTGGTTCAAGTTATCCTAAAAGAAGTTTTTCTCTCCAGACCTAATAGTTTTAAGTGCAAGAGTTCACTGTGGGCTAATCTGAATGTTAATGAGGCCATTAAGAATCTGAGTGCTTCAGGAGGTTACCCTATACCCACTGTCATTCCATCCAGTCGGCCCAGTTATGCTCTATACAAATACTCCCAGCTGAGGGGCACGTAGGGGCTAAAACCCAACTGCAATTGGCTCCCAGATATAATTTTATAGTTTACAGAAAAGCATCTTATTTGCTTATATATGTTTAAAGAATGGCTTTGCTTATACATCTTCAGAAAATGAGAATTAAAAAGTCAAAATAATTCTTGAATCTGCAAATCAAACAAAGAACTTAGAAGAAATAATACTTTATCTTTTCATCCTGGCATTCCCAAGAGAAGAAGAGAGGTTGTATGTTTATCATGTTGGTTTAATTTTTCAACCCAGACAATCTGCAGCAAGGCCCATGGACCTAATAATCTTCCACATAGTTTTCATTCTATGCATGGAGCCAACTATTGACTTTGCCTGTAAACAGAGGATTGTGTGCCTAAATTTTGTCTAACAAATGCAAACATAGAATGAAATGTATTAATATTTCTATTTCTTCCATAGGCTAATAGTAACTAAATATTTTTAAAGACCCAGCCCTTTTCTTCTCTTTATACAAAATGAGAGTATCTGAGCCAAAATATTAAATTCGAGTTCATTTTCACAATGACTAGTGTCAAGCTCATGTACTCTTCTGATTCTAGACTGGAGAAGATTATTCAAACTTGATCTGTGTTTCAGGTTTTTAAATGTCCTAAAAACAGAAAATTAGATTCAGATCTCAAAAAAGGAATTTTGGATTGACTTTCAAAGTACTAATACTAATTATACTTTTCTTTTGGTAGCGTGACTCTTCTTATACCTAAGAACATATTACAAATGTCAAAACCATTGCATTTTGACATTGCAAAACATGCCTTGAACTCTTGAACTACTGTGAAAAGAATCATCGTTGTAAAGACTTTTTGTAAGCTAGCTGATACTCAAGTATGAAAAGAGATTGTCTTTCAGCAGACAGGCCCAAAGGAATATATATATGTAAGGAAGAAGTATGAAAAAATAAATTAGGGTGTAAAATAATAATTGGGCAATACACTGTATCAAAAATATGTAGATGAAGATTTTAGTGGTGGTAATTTAAATGTTGAAGATGAGAATTTTAAATTCCAAAGAAAGATGAATGATAATTAGATGTTTCATTAATTTCTAGTCTGTGAAAATATGCATTTTATAGTAACATGTATAGACTTATTTTATTTAGAAATAGTATTTTAGAATTTATTAAAAACTCAATGATAGCCTTTATACCAAAATGTTTAACTTTACCAACAGCAAGTCATAAAAGTATTTATTTTAAAGCTTTTTAATATTATCACATAACTTTCATCTGTCTTCAAATGTAAATAATTATCTGCCTAAATGTTATATTTTTATGTATGCGTTTTCTGAAAATGTATTGTTTTGTAAAGTGGCAAAGATAATAAATTAAGCATTTGTTGCACTTGTTTCTGTGAAGCATATAGAGCTCTATTTTAAATAAAGGAAGATGTGTCATATTTTGGTTTCTATACAATTATGTTCTATTATTTTTAATTGTATTTTATTTTTATGCAGTGTATGGGGAGGGTGTTAGAGACTTAAATGCTGGCTCCAATGGGCACTGGAATTTTACTTCCTTCCCTCCTTTTAACCAAGGAGTTGTAGAATGCTAGAATTTCAGAGCTGGAAGGGACACTTCCTCAGTATCCATTTCTCTACATGGAACTTAGGACAATAGATTTTGTTTCTATTTTTCTACCAAGCAACTGTTTTTTTGTATTTTTTAAACACTTACTAAAAGACTACTGGGTTGACCTCGAGCCTAAAATAGCTTCCATTAAACTTAAAATCACAAACACGTGCTACAAGCCTTTTCAGGACATAGAACCAGACCATGGCTCTGCCTTCATTTTCAGTGTCCCCACATTCATTGCCAACTGTTCTCCAGATCCTGGCTTCTTGCTATTCCCTGAACTTGCCAAACATGTTCCTGTCCCAGGACTTTGCCCTCACTGTTTGTTCTGCATGGAATGTTAAAGGTCTCTGTAAGAATGTCTTCATACCAAATGAGCCTTTCTTGCTACCCTTTGAAAAGTAGCACACTTTGTCATTCACCACCTGTTTAGCCTGTATAATTTTATTTTATAGCATTTAGCATTAATCGGCATTCAATTATATATCTACTAGTATGTAGTATCATAATGACTAAATCCTTTAGCACTGGAATTAGGGATTTAGGGGTTATTTCACTTATATTTGAAGATATAGTTTTAAAATATTGAGAGTAACATATTGTTTTGGACAGTAAAAGAAATGCTCTATGAAACTCATTATTCATGCCCCAATATCTTCAATAAACCTTAGGACTGGGTTCTTACCCAATCAAGAATAGTTCAGCCCAATTTCTAATTCATGATGGCTCTTTCAGAGTGACATCATGAGAGGATTAGGTGTTTGGTTTATATTCTGAACCCTACAAAGTTGATGTTTTCTGAGACTTAGCATAAGAGAGGCAGAACACTGAATTGGTTTTACTTTTGGTATAGATTTTTAAGTTCTTTTGCTTTTCTATTCTTTTTTCTGTTTGGGAGGACAGTTTTATTAATAATATCCTGAATATCTTGCATTAAGTCAGTACTAACCAGCTTCAGTAGCCAAATATTCCTGGTTAACAATCATTAAGTCAGGTTCTCAACTGCTTCATTGTTAGCTGCTGCTTAAAGTTGCAGAAATATTTATTTCACATTGGTGTAGATTGTGAAACCTAGGCATGAAATTAAATGAGTGCTTTAGTCTCAGCAGCATTAGTAGTAGCTTTTTTCCCCCTCAGTTGTAATTCTGCAATTTCAGCATCTTAATTTTAAAACACAAATATGTGCAGACTTTGGTGAATGTTCACACTGATGCAATAGTTTACCTACAGTGTGAACATAAAATTGGATAGTTACTTTTTTCCATCAGGGCAAATTCCTGGAGATTAGGGGATTACTGAATCCAGGCTGTTTTATAGGGTGTTCTGGAAGTAATTTTTCAAGAAATGCTCAATGACATTTAGAAGAAATACACATATTTTGGCAGAGGGTTATTAAAACATTGATTTGAATAGTTTCTTTAAAATCTATTTATTAGAAACGTATTCCCACAGCGTGCTTTGTTTTTGTTTGTGTCTTTTAATGCTGTATGTAACAAAATTGTAATTACAACTACTTTTATGTTTAAAAGAAGTTAATATTCTTTTTCCTTCAAATATTAGTAAACAAATCTTTATCAAACATTGCTACTAAGTGCATAGTATCTTAACAGTCACTCAAGTGTTAAGAAAGCAATAAATTCCCACACTCAAGAAAAAAATCAATTTGGGAAGATGAGATATAAACATGGAAAGCTATCTAATGTTAGAAGATAGTGATACAAGAGATGTTGTATGAAAGGAAATTATTAAGGCCTGGCATGGGTACAAATATTAAATGTGAATGAAGACATAGAAATCAGGTATTGACTATGTTGGAAGAGTCAAGAAAATTGATGTGTTGAGTCCTGTGGGATGGGAAAGATTGGTATAAGTAGAATACAAGGAAGAGGTTGTCCCTGGTTGAAAACATGTCTGGAGCAAAGGCTGATGCTCATGGCAGTGAGTAAGCTACCGAGCTGGGATTGAGGGATTCTGTAAGGATTAGCTTACAGCCTTCAAAGTTGATCCTTTCATTAAGAGAGACTCTGAAGGTGTTAAAGCAGCAGTGATCATGTGATGTTGGTATTTAATAAAGGCAGTAAAAGAATTACCCTCTTAAGAGATTTATCAAAATAACCTGAAGATTCCAACATACCCTTTCTTCTCTGAAAAATATTTAGAGGCAGTACACAGGTGAAAAATTTCAAGAGAAACTATACAATTGGTATAATGTGAGTGTTTTTATATGGTATATTTTTCCTACTTTTTAATATGTCTTAAATGCAAAGCAAAATAGTCATAAGAAATGACATTTAATCTTTAATAATTTAGTTTTATTACAATTATGACACAAATAATTTTTAAAAATATGCAGAAGCAATCATTTATAAAGGTCTACCTTGTAATTCTATCTTTGCACAAAGAAATTTCTAGGGGCCACTGAACTGTATGCATTAAACTTCAAATATAATCAAATCAGGTTTAGAAATACTAACGTTGCTTCATAGAAGAATCTTTGCTTCAGCAACTTAGGAAATTACACTTGATTTTCTTTTGAGTGTTACTCAATTGTGCTTGAAATTGTTCATCTGAACCCTTCTAAACAACAAGCAGGTGGTTAAATGTGAGCACTGTTTAAAATTCTCACAAAAAATTCCAAGCACAATGCACTTTTGCCCTGTGAATGTCAACTGGCGTTCCCTTCTCTCTCATAGCCTGCCCTTCCCTGGCCATTAGATTTGACCTTGTTACATCCCTGAAAAGAGAACCAGCTCAAATGTAGCTACTTGCTAGGGAGCATTAGACTATTTTTACAGTCGTGCAGCTAAAGCTTTTAATGTAGCAACTGCTGGTTACTGAAGCAGTTTAAGAAAAAGGAACTGCTGAGTTTGCCTTTTATTTTTAAATGGAGAAATACAAGGTGACAATCATGTAAGTGAAGCGGAACAGGGGAAATACATCCTAGGATTTCTGTATAGAGCAAAAGCAAGAATTTGCAAGATGCATTTCAATTCTATACTGCAATCTGGATCTTTACTTTTATATAATACATGAACTAGTTCATAAAATGCACTTTTCTCTATGTCAGCTTTTCCTTTATCAGAAATATATGGGCGATAACATAAACATTTTACTGCAGATGTAGTCACTGTGAGGTATTTGTGAAATAACCAAAAATTTACAATAGGGTAGAAATATGACATTTGGAAACACATAGACTTTGTAGTTCTTTTTTTTTTCCCCAAAGCAAACTTTTGTGGGTGTACATTTTCTGTCTCCATCTTCTCTCTGCCCATTCACTCCTCGACCCACTACAATAGTACTTTTGACTCGTCCTGTAAAATGGCCTTCTCTGTGCTAAGTATTTGTGGTAGTCTGGTACAAGAATATTTACCCTTTTCTTCCTTTGTCTTTCTCTGGCCTTTGCAACAGAATGTCCTCTCCCATAATTATTTTCCTTTGCTTGATTGTCCTCCCCTACCTCTTGTTTTCCTCTGCATTCTTCAATTTTTTTTTTGAGACAGGGTCTCACTCTGTCACCTAAACTGGCATGCAGTGGCATGATCACAGCTCATTGCAGCATCGACCTTTTCAGGCTCAAGTGATCTTCCCACTTTAGCCTACCAGTAGCTGGACGAGGCATGCGCCAGTACACCTAGCTAATTTTTGTATAAGCCACCACACCTGGACCATATTTTCTTTTTTCTGTGGTCCCTAAAATGTTCATATTTAGCCACTCTAGCTTTGGCTATCCTAAACACCCCTCCTTGGTAATCTCATCTACTCTTTTGCCTTTAATAAGGCTAGTGATGTTCAAACCTGCATACTCGTCCCAGACTTCCCTTCCAAGATCCGGGTCCTAACGTCCAGCCTCTTCTTTATGTATCCACTTAACATAGTCACTTCTGATTCCAATGTCAAAATGTAGTTTTTTGTGTCCGATTTCTTTTGCTTAGCATACTGTTTTTGACATTCAGTCATGTTGTTAGATGTATCAGCAGCTTGTTCTTTTATATTGCTGGGTACAGTTCTATTCTATTAACATACCACAATTTGTTTATGCATTCACTTGTTGAACATTTGGATTGTTTCTGGTTTGGGGCTATCATGAATAAATCTGCTGTGAACATTGATGTTTAAGTCTTTTTGTGGATATGCGCTTTCATGTCTCCTGAGTAAATACCTAACACTATAATTGCTAGAGTGTAAATACTTACAAGTATAATTAGGTAAATACTTCTTAGGGGTGTAAAGTGTTTGTACCAGTTTACACTGTCAGTGTATGAGAATAATAGTTGCTCCAGAGTTTTTCATTGTAGCTTTTCTGGTGAAGTGTAGTAGTATCTTATTGTTATTTATTTATTTATTTATTTTGAGACAGAGTTTCCCTCTGTTACCCAGGCTGGAGTGCAGTGGCACGATCTTGGCTCACTGCAACCTCTGCCTCCTGGCTTCAATTGATTCTCATGCCTCAGCCTTCCAAGTACCTGGGATTACAGGCACATGCCACCTTGTTGACTAATTTTGAATTTTTTGTAGAGACGGGGTTTCACCATGTTGGCCAGGCTGGTCTCGAACTCCTGACCCCAGGTGTTCTCCTATCTCAGCCTCCCAAAGTGCTGGGATTACAGGCATGAACCACTGCGCCCAGCCTCTCGTTGTTATTTTAAATTGCAGTTTGGTGATCACTGATTATATTTAGCTTCTTTTCCTATAGATACTGACTTTGTATATTTGGAGTATATCAAAATATTTTGCCCACTTTTTACTGGTTGTTTCCTTATTATTGAGTTGTAAGTATACATTATGGATTCTGTATACAAATATTTGACAAATATGAACTCT